GCGACGAAAGAAGAGGCCGTTCTCGGAGAAATATTCTCCATCGTCAGATGATAGAGATTTTTCGACCGCTGCTTTGAGTTCCGCGTCGACTTGTTGAGCTTTAATGATGTCTTCCTGAGATATCCTCAGGGGTAAGCCCAGACTTGTGTTTTCTGGAAGCATAGACTCCAGTTTGGGAGTCGAATTTCTTGACGATGATGGCGGGTGTGGTTCAGACGTTGTGTCAGCCAATTGTTTGGTCTGGCTTCTTGTCACCGCACATGCAGGATACAGTTCATAATCATTATCTGGAACTGTTGACAAAGGGTCTGAAACCGTACAGGGGTATACTTTGCTTCCCGCAAGGTCATTCCCTAGAAGTAGGTGTACTCCTGGGACAGGAATACTATCTATCACACCTAAAATGACCTCACCTTCGACGAGATGATGTTTCAGGGCGAACTTGTGTAGAGGGACGACAGTAGATTTTGTCCCCACTCCCTGGATAATGGAAATCCTTCCGGTGTTCGTCTCAGGTGTAATGTCCATTGAACTTTTCAAAAGGAGTGATTGTGACGCTCCTGTGTCTCTTAGAACGGTGATATTCTTCTGAGACAACGGATCACCTGGTTTGCTAATGATGGCTTCGGCAATAAAAGATGAAAAGTCAACTTTTCTCGATCCCTCGAGATCGGTAGACTCGGAAGAAACTGGATGGTGGCGAGAACAGTCAAAATGTGACTGCACATAATGTGTGGAGACTTGACTACCTTCTTGCGGACACTTAGGATTAGAGTCCTTTTGAATTCTAGAGTTCATAGTTGAACTGGCTGCTTGAGGGGATAGAGCATAGTGCGCGGAAGTACGCACCACCTCTCTGTTATATTGAAGACGTTTGTAACAGTCCTTGACAAGATGCCCAGACCTTTTGCAGAACTGGCATACTGCTCGACGATTGAGAGTTGATCTTGGTTTCTCTCTGGACTGTGATGTCTTCAAATGTTGGCCAACAGGAGGATTGCTGCCAAAAAGGGGAAGCACGGGGTTGAGGCGGTTTCCTGACACTGGTGGTTTCTTATGCACCAACATATATGTGTCAGCCGACTCAGCAGCCTTCTGGATGTCAGTTATCTTGTTATCCAGTATGTGTAGTCGTATCTCTTCAGGCAGGGACGATAGGAATTCTTCCCTTAGGATAAGTGACCTGAGTTTCTCAAACTCAGAAACTTCCTCAGAGTGTAGCCACCTTGAGAATATTTTCTCCTTTTCAAAGAGAAATTCCACATATGATTGTGTGGGTAACTTGCGGAGTGTTCGGAATTTTGTCCGATAGGCCTCGGGCGTCAGTGCGTAGGCCTTTAAAATGGCAGTCTTGACCAAACTATAGTTATTTTGAACGTCGTGAGAGAGTGCCTGGTATGTTTTTGCAGCTTTCCCAGTAAGGACAGAGCTCAATAAAGCAGTAATGGAAGTTTCGGGCCATTCACATGTCTTCGCTAAACTCTCAAATGAGTTAAAGAAAACGACCAAATCTGTTTCATCAAATTTAGGAACTAATTTCCCAAATTTGGCAATCACTTGCCCTACCGACAACTTTTTTGGATCTACCGGAGAAGTGACATCACTAACTTGACCAAACTCTAATTCCAACCTCCTCTTATCTAAAGCAATTTTAGCCTCTAACTCCTGTTTCTCTAGAGCAACTTTCTCCTTCTCTAGAGCACTTTTAGTTTCAAACTCCTTTTCTTTTAATAGAAGCTCCCTCTCTTCTATAGATTTCTCCTCGCGGAGCAACACACTAGCTAACAAACTTTCGTCAAATACTCCTTCATTAATGAAATGAACAACAATTTTATCTCTCAACACCTCTGACTTCTGCGTAACAGAATAATCCAATTTCAATTCCTTAACAACACTAACCAAAACTTTTCTACTCAACTTTTCTACATCTTCAACAGTAGGATTAGCCAAAAAAGACTCCATAACACTACTTGAAAATCACAACAAGCCTAGATCCTTTAAATTAACACACCGTGTTGGGCCGTGTACTCGACCTCTAAATGTAGGACGACACGTCTGCTTATTTGACCTAGATACTCTAGCCTGAGCGCGCGTTGTAAGAACACTGCGCTACCGGATATAAAAACAACTAAATCCAACTAACCTTAATATTCAACTGATATAACCAACAACTGGAACGACAGATTAAATCTCGGCGAGCTCCCACTTTGTAACGTTAACCTATCTATCAGCTAAATAGAAGGAGAACGTCCCCGGATTCTTTTTTTGGGGTCATATGCAAATACCTTACGGCCTAAGTGGATGAACACTTAACACAACGTCCCACTAGGGCTCGAAATTAATGTCTAGGGAAGCTAGTGATACTATTGTATTTAACACTCATCCAATCTACATACGACCTTTTAATCAGCGAACTCAGATGTGGCAAAACACAAAGATGAACTAGATAAAATATTTAATGTATAAAATATCAAAACACAACTTACAAAATGTAGGAAAAATCACTATCACAGATTTCTACACTGTCTAAAGAACAGCTACAGGCCACACAACACGGCTGTAGCTCCAGGAATTACTTAACGACAAGTAATATTAAACTAGAAGACTAAATCAACTGAAGAAAGCAAGGCACACACAGGTCTTAAGTACTCTCACGTTCAAATGGTCAGAGACTATAGCCGGACAATATGGACGGCTGCCTGACTAAGGTAAAACGGCCTCGTAGACTTTTAGGTCAAGAAAAACTGCCTCGTGTTGCGAGTGTGCAGTGCAATTATAGACTTCTGTGACAGGGGAGGTTATCCTCAACTCATGTCGCCATTGGTTGGGATAATCATCTGATCAGAATCATTCAATCAGATTTTAATGGAAATTTTCTATGTCTCAAACACCTTAACAGTCAATGGAAAAAACCCAGGTGTTACACCATCATTCCATATAAGGAATTATACAATGTCAAAATAAAAATGACTCGACCTAAGTAGGTCACACCCGTTATATAGGCTCCCGACAAAAGGGTTCCAGTCAATAATGCTCCTGACAAATAGGCTCCCGTCATTTTGGCTCCCGACATATAGGCTCCAATCATTTAGTTTTTTCCACAAAACGGCCCCCGTCAATACGACTGCCGATAAATAGGCCCCCGCCAATTTAGTTTCTCCACAAAACGTCCCCCGTCATTACGACTCCCGACAAATAGGCTAGCGCAATTTTGGCTCACGACAAAAAGGCTCCTGTCAATTTAGCTCCAGACAAAAAGACCATTGACAATACCGTTTCTGTAGAGACTAAGTCTCCCGGCAAAACGGTCTCATTGAATATGACACCTGCCAGTGGGACACCTTCATCAATATTCTTTAGAGTTAGCTTATCCAACACTCTTATGTAATACAACGTATGCATCTCTTGTTCGGCAGGACTTATTTTTATATTAGTTTATCTATTATAAAATAAAGTATGTTTTAATTTAAGGGTCATCAATCTATGACTTTCATAATTGAGTCGGTTATAGGCTTTCCAACTCAGTGTGTGGGAGAAGGGTCCACGCTGTACCTTCCTATCTTCAGTATGCTATATAATATAATAAACTTCTCTTTATGTGATTAGATGTTACTTGGGTTAGAAATATTTTCAAACTGCATTCATAACATATTAACCATAATATATAAATAAACACATGTCGTTTTATCGTACCGCCGATTGTTTAATTAACACTAGTGTTAACCATGTCATATTCGTTTAGCGTAAAACATGTGATTTTTTAATTGAATAAGCTCTTTTGTTGGTGCTCTTTTGTCTGCGCTCTTATGTCGGCGCTCTTTTGTCGGGGTGCCGTGAAAGATTATGGATGTTATAATAAATTATAAATATCAATCATGGTGTCTCCACTTCTCCCCTCTTCTCGCTACCCCACAGGTAACTGTACACACCTGGACCCGAGTCCAGCGGTATCATAAGGCTGACCGGGCCTCGACCTCAGACTGCGGTCACGAAGGCGGAGCCTGAGTCATGTGACCTGTAAGGTAGGGACGCTACAGTCCGGTCACCCTACTTTCTCCCTTCTTCGCAGGTACACGTTTCTTTGGTGCTAAGGCACTTGCCATCATAAAATTATACTTATTCTGGTGCTTTGTCACTTGCTCTTCACGGAGAAATTGATCTAACGTTTTGGCAACGTGTGTAGTGGATTGTGTGGCTTCATTGGAAGGTAATTAATACTTACTTTTATTAGCTTTTATAAGTATGGAATGTGTATAAACAATGTATGAATGAAAATCATATCTTAAGTAATGTTTATGGTAGGCCTATGTCAGGCTAATGTAAATGTATTATCTTTGTAAAAATAGTAAAATTGTATGTGTCTGAAGTCTGAATGATTGTGTATATCCCACAGATGTTATGAAATTTATAAAATGCATTTTACAGCCGGCCAGCTTGGGGCTAAAGCCTAGACGCTACTGAGTGTGACCACGCCGCCCTGGAGACCACGCGCCCATTTCAGGCTACTCTGAGTTTAAACTTTGCTCCTATGCTAATTATTCTATGTTTACCTTCATGTATTAAAAGTTAAATAAATGTTCAAACTTCGCACTGAGTTAATTATTGACTCTTATTCTTAAATTATTTCACTGAGCCAAGTATTGGCAACGAGTCAATAAAAACAACAGAACATTGATAAAACACACTGTTAAATATTAAGGGATCTCTTGTCCAACGAGACAAACCCTTGGCCAAACAAGCAATTCTGTTGCAGTGGATATATATTTATGTGCGGTATGACTCGATAGAGCAAATTTGCCACAATGGAATATACTGATTGATAAATCAAAATGCAAATAAGACGCTACATTTTAAGGCCCTTAAATGTATAGATCTACTTACATTTTCTGCCTTTATATGGCAGTAGTTGCTATGATGTTTTAACTCTGTGTCGTTTTCTTGGTCCAGCCAATGGCCAGCATCGCAAAAAAACAAAACAAAGTCATACAGTTTGTGTTGAAGGACCCAGATTTATTGTACAGTGAAATTCAGTCCGATTACATAAGACGAACTTTCATCTCAACAAAATCCAGAGAGTTATAAGCATCTGTAACGCTGCGCCAATGCATTTCCTTATCCCATACTTTACTTGCCCAATCACCGTTGACCCTAACTTTCCCACAATCATTCCACCAAAATGCACCAGTATTATACGTTATTGCACAGTTAGCGTAAAACCTATCGTTATCACGATCCAAGGTCGTGAATTTCATGCCGTTGTTCTCTTTGAAATCATCCGCAACGTTCCCACCACTCATTGACGTGTAGGTCATTTTGTACTGCGCTGCTTCATTTTCTACCTTAAAACCTCTGTACACAGCATAGTAGTCTTTGCCTTTAAACTTCATGTCAAATCTTAGCTCGTTGTAACCCTTTTTAGATAAAAAAAAATTAATTAAGGAATAAAGATTATAGAGATAAAACAAATATAAATGTGTAGATTATAGATCTTTAAAGAAATAGTCATCGTTAACTATTAGTTGGCTAGTAATATATATAAAGCACGATACAATTTATTAACATAGCAACAGTCGAATTAAGTTAGCGATATTATTACACAATATGGTTTTTTCCTTTAAGTTCTTGAAACTGATTTCTGCGTAACGAACCTTCATAGTCAGCTGTGAAATCAAGTCGTTCCCAAGCCAAAAGTCACCAGATATTACGCCAAATCCCTGTTTATATTCGTTCCACGTTCTGTTGAAATCAACGCCACCGCTTACACGTCTCTTGGAAAAAAATAAGCGATATTTTCTACGCTTATTGTACATGTCTTTATTACAATTATTTAGTTTTAAAGTAAGCTTTTCTTTACAGTTATCAAATTTAAAGCAAATGTTGAACTGTACTTGAAACTGTTTTCGATTCTAGTTTGTGAAATTAATTAAAATCAATTTCCTTAAATATTTTTTGAAGTACCGTTAGCATATTCTTTTCATGTAGAGGCCCCTTAAGTCGTAGTGTTTTATTTTATATTTAAAGAAAGTCATTTATTTTCTAATTTTAGTGTATCATTAAATAAAAGCTTCTTATTAAAACGTTTTAACAAGCGTTTAATACACACTTTTATTTAACTTGCTTCCCCCGTCTTTCTCCTCCCTTCCGCCTCTCTAGATTGAAATGAACGAGTAAAATTTCAAGCATTTCTAACCGATCAATTTCTCTAAAATTCGGCACGTGAGGTGAGACCCAATGACAATGCATTATGACATTTAATTTGACTTAATCGGATGTTTAAAAAATTGTTGTGAATTAATGAATTTTTTTTTAAAATTAGTAAGCGTCTTCATTACTTTTAGTTGTGAAATTTATTACAATCAATTTTTAAGTTTGGTGCGCAACAATTTTTAGTCATGTAACTCTATTGTATTAAAATATTTAAAGTACTTAAAAATGTATAAAATACGTTGTAATAACAAGTATGTATGTAATACTGCAAATAAAAAATAAATTAATTAAACATTAGTAAAGATATCCAATATATAATACAGTGGCCCCCTTTTTTCTTTATAGTTAATTAAACAGTAATTTACTATTATACATTTAAAGAAAAACATTTTTATGTCAATTTTAGGGCATCTATCTATCTATCTATATACTACTAAAACTCAATTTTTATTTACATGTTTGTATATTTATTTATTTATTTATTATTGTCTTTTTGTTTCATTAGAGAGTCTGCACTATGTGTAGAGCTGTAAAATAACAATTTAGGTAGAGAATAATGTACTTTTTTTTCCAAACTGTTAATCATAAATTTATTTAAAGACGTTAATTGATGTATTGATATATTCATTGGTAGATAGACCACTTTAATTATAAACGTTCAGAACAATGACATTACTTATAGTGACGTCACATGATTTATTTTCTTTTTATAACAATAACGGCGACTTCCATACAAGATTTTGTTGCCTATTCAATGTAAAGCTAATTTTTATTAGGTTCCAACACTATTATCAATTTTCAACAGTTCTAATTTGAGTAGCCTATACAATACATTTCTCTAGATCTACAGATCAGGAAGGAAAAGTTATAGATCTAGAATCTAGGTCAAACCCAAATTAATTATTTAAAAATAAAAATAATTATAAAAACAATAAAATATTGAGTTTCTTTATTAAACTATTTTAGTCCTTAAATATGTGATTCAAATCTTTGCTTTCTAGCTTCAAGGATCATATAATTCCAGAATACAAGGAATTTAACTATCTAGACTAGATCTAAAATGTAGATCTACCGAAAAACTAGACTCAAGAAAAAGATAGAGCTAGAGATCTAGATCTATAAATAATACATTTGCTTATTAGCGTAAATTTACGCTAATAAGCAAATGTATTATTTATAGATCTAGATCGCACAGTCGACAGCGTGTTAGACATTATTTTTAAGTTGCTGGTCCAAAAGCCATGCAACAACAATAGTTTTTAAATCTTCACATACGGTTGGTACACAGTGGAAAATCTCACGCCAATTGTTCCAATCCATTGATGATATTTCGATGCTAGCTTTAATACAATATTATTTTTTTATTCCTATTAGATCTAAGTTCCACCAATATTAACACATTCCATTAAAATACGTGTGATAGATCGTGCAATACGAGACTATAGAATTTTTTTTAATTCATCGTATTATTAAAGCATAAGACAAGGGCAACTAAGACATTGTTCGTATTGGTTTTAATTTTTTTGGTCAGCAAAAAAAGTGATTTAATAATTAAAAAAAGACTGAATTGTTTAAAGCAATCTGTTTAGGTATTTAATTAAGTAATAAGGTGGTTGATTGGTTAATATAAATATACGAGCCGACCCGCGGTGTATCATACGCCGCTATTTAGTTGTTTTTTCTACTTTTCAGTAATTCATAATTTGTGAATTCGACAGTACCAATGCTGCCACTGAAAATATTTGCTTTAAAACACTAAACCCCCATCCCCCCCCCCCCCCCCCCCCGTGAAAGCAGCCTCCTCTTAGTTACCTCCTCTAAGTTTAAAATAGTTTCAAACTGAATTATCTGGCCCTAATAGCCGTCACCAAACAAAACATTTAGCGTGAACTACAACTCACCGGACCATGTGAGGGGGGGGGGGGGTGGGGGGGGTGGTAGCGATAGAGAGGAAGAGAGGGGACTGCAAGGCGCGCGCTTGCAGCTTGTTTTCTAACGGCTCCCAGAAGAGAATTATATATATAGATAGATTTTTGTATCTTTTTTTCCGTAGTAGAATTAGAATGTTATATCTGATGTGTGAAAGTTACCGCTAAGTCAAACTTCCCTTTCTGCAAGTGTCCACAAAACTCGATTCTCTATGACCCCCCTCCCTCATCCTGTATAGACATCATAAATAGATGTCCCTGAGAAATCGGGCGGGTATTTGAGCCTATTAAGAACATGGATTCATTTGGGGTTAAAAGACTATAAATGTTTGTTGGGCAAAATTGGATATTGGTGTAATTTTATCTTCGCAGAAACCTTCGCATGAATATTTTCATCAACTCCACAAAGTTTCATCGCGATCGGATGAATTGTGTAGTAATGGATAAAAGACATACACTCACACACATATAATTTCATTTAAAGAAAGATAACAGCAGGAAAACCTGAATGACGACCCATCCTCCACCATCAGTAACCGTATCGCACCAGGTCTGTTCCATGTCTCTCATAATGAGGACAGCTAAATATTTAGTGATTGTGATAGCTGGTTGATTTCTTTTACACATCTCAAGCCTGGGAAGTTTAGCCGGCAAAATCATCTAAATACAAAATACGCAAGTGATAAATCAAATTCCAAATGTCGCAAATGTAAAAACGATCTAAGCTGACTATAATGTACTTGGAATTTTTAAAATCAACATTACATTAAATTAGATACTTAGGCTTTAATAATGCAAAGCTAACAATATGGATCTTCCTTGTAGACTACATTGAAACAATACAAATAAACCCTCCTACTCATTATTTCAAAATAAGAATGAATAAAATCAGAAAGTACTTATCGAAAAATCAAAGCTTTGACCAAGTAATAATAGATTGTTGGTGCCAAATCTACTTGCTGGATATACAAAGAAATCGGTAGGTATTTAATTATGTAAATTAATGTCTAGCTTAAAGTTCCCTTTTTTAACCTGACGGTCTATGAGACAAGAGAGTAGAGTTCACAAGTTTATGTAACCTCGGCATATGAAGTGACAGTGTGGTCAGCACTAATCTCAGCCGCCTTAACTTTCCCTTACGCGAGTTAGGATTGAAACACAACTGGCTGGACTCCTGGACTTCTGTTGACATGAACCAGGATAGAACTTGAATCGAGACTTTCAGGTTAGCAGCCTAGCGCTCTACTGCATTCTGTAACGTGTAACTAAATGTGTTTAATATCATTTTACAAATGATTATACTTAAAAGTATCACATATACCTGCAACACCGATAGCATCGTATTCTTAAGATTATCTTGAACATTGTTTTGTAGCTCTTGTAGCTTGTTTTGAATCGCCAGAACCTGACCTTGCTGTTCTTGAAGCTTGTTTAGACAGACTTGTTCATTACCTTCTTGTAACTGATGCTTAAAATCAATTACTTTTAGGTTTTCTTTTATGCAAAGAATATCGGCCGCAATACTTCCCACCAACGTCTCTAGAGACTGACAAACTTGTGACTCACAACTAGGTGATTGGCTCACAGCCCTGCTATCACGTGATGCCGTTGTCATGTCAGTTTGTACGATCTCTCCTGCATTAGAATTGGATAAACTTATAAAAACTACCAACAAATTATTTGGTTTTAAGAGACATAAGCCAACATGTTTACCTTATAAAAAATATTTACTTCGTCAGTTCAGCAACGAACTTCCATTTAATCAACTAAATTTTAGAATCAGTTTAACCAACCAACTTTCTTATAATTATTTGGATTATCAAATGATTGAAGTACGCGCTTAGCATGTAAAAAATAGGACCTGAAGCAATTAAGCCAATATGCTTCAGTTAGGAAGGGCTTTTATAAACACTAAGCTATGTTGTCTGTCAGAAAGTGGAATATTACCAGCAAAATTTCACCAAATTCTGCCGAACAGATTAGTTTTAACCCTTTCCCCTGCGACTTGGTGTAAACTAGTCTCGTTTTGTAATTTTTTCTCAATTTCATTTCCATCTACATGGTGGTTGGGATGAACACATTGAAGGTTGTAAATTTAAATAATATACGAAAATAATTTGATCAAGGTTTGAAATTTATTTATAAGGTCCGATTCTGAAGGTATTTGAGTAACAAAGATATCAAACGTGATTCAAGTATTCGACTTTTGTAATAAAATAATAGAACATTAACACGTTTTAATAATCAACACCTCAGAGAGCACAATTGTTAGATACAACTAAAATAACTGAACATTTCTTTTTTCTGGCTGGAAAATTGTGTTCAGTTAGGAAGGGCTTTTATAAACACTAAGCTATGTTGTCTGTCAGAAAGTGGAATATTACCAGCAAAATTTCACCAAATTCTGCCGAACAGATTAGTTTTAACCCTTTCCCCTGCGACTGGGTGTGAGGGTGGGGATTTTACGAGGCGTAATGAATGAATCCAATAACACACAGTTCAAATTCCAAATACAAAGTTCTTTATTGAAATTATAAATCAATTTCCTATCTAACTAGCCTGTTAAATACTATCTACTACTACTACTACTAACTCTACTAACACGCCCTTCCATGACCAATCCTACCACTATCTACATTCTAACTGTTCTCTACATAACTACGTCTGCTCCATTCTACAACCTAACACCTTCTGCCCTCGCTAGCTAATCATGATCTCCCGGTCTAACAGTGGCCCACGCTTCAGTGGTCAGCTGACCGTCCCATGTGACCGGTCAGTTCACGTATTTTCATTGGTCTCTCTCTCTGACTAGTCTGACCAACTTGATATAGCCTGCTTCTGCTATCTACCTGAGCTCGACGTAACCTTGCGTCATCACATATCTCCCTCCCTTTCTGTAGCTGACAAATTATATTTTTCAGCGTCTGCTACTAATCTAATACATCAACAACTATCTATCTTACTACTCTATTCTATCCCTAACATCAATCATGTAAATCAAATACAAAATGGGACAGCACAGTTTACAAAAACATAAAATCGTGTGTCTGTGTTCCTGAGAAGAAAAAAATGTCATTGTTTTCGTTCTTGTGTAGGTATCCTGACGTCTGTAGTGTTTCTGCTTGATAATGTATGTCTATGTTATGGAATGTGTGAATCCAATAATGTGCAACTCAGTTCTGGCTAGGTTGTCGTGTACTGGCCTTGAGACAATCTTAGTGGTAATGTGTAACTGGTTGAACGGCTCAGCGAGCAGTGTAAGTGTATGTGTAAGTTATGTAATTGTTGGCGTCCTCTGTGGTGGGTGGGTTGTGGCGAGTTTTGATGTAAATTCCCGTGAGGCGGGTGTATGCGTAACTTCGTTGGTCAATGTGATGACGCAACAATCTCATCTCAACGCTGGTTGAGACGTCCACGTAGAGTGGTTATACGATGAACTGAAGCTGTCTGATGTGGGGAAACAATGACGCAACATTCCGACGCTGGGAACCTGGACGATGGGTCTTCTACCCTTTGTATGTGCCGACGGAGGTGTACGTAATTGGCGGTCTGTTATTCAACCCCAGTGCGGGGGCGAAGCGGTGGCGTTGCGTCCGCTGTCTTGACCAGGGCAATTCTCTGTTCAGCAGGGCTGTTCGCTGTCCAGGTAATTCAACGTAATCAGGGCTTCAGGTGGCGGCATTTTTTGAAGTGTTTGCTTCATCTCGTCTCATTCTCTGTAAGCGTTGGTGGGTCTGAAAATTGTATAACGAGACTATGAGCAAGGGTTTTACGTGACCAATTTAGTGCCCGCGCAGACAAGTATTCAGACAGAGGTACCTTCCATTAAATAAAAACCTCAATCCCAAATGTAAACGTGCTGAACATTTGTCTGGCGGTACATACAGCATACAAATATAACATTACAAAATTAACCAAATAAAAAATCAGTACACTCTAACAACAATCTGTAAAGCCTAATAAACTCAATAGACGTAAACACTACTAGAGCTTAGAAATAGCTTCACAAAAAGAACAGACATGTTAGTGTATATCAATAATATAGTGCCATTTCAAATCAACATTTCAACACGTGATCATATAGTGGAGCAGCTCTCACTATGTGACTTCTGACTTGACTTAAACTGGCTGGCTTGAATAATTAACTGACTTCACTTTTGACTTCAGTAGCTTGACTTATTTCACTTTAACTGACTTCAGTAACTTCACTGACTTCAATTTACGACTTATTTCACTTTCACGATTAACTTTTACTTCGACGATGTCAACTACTTCAATTTGCCGACTAACTTGACCTAGACGACTGATTTCACTGACTGACTTTGACTTCAATTCAACTTAAAAGACTTCACTGACTGACTTAAACTTCGAAAACTTCGACGACTTAAACGTCTTCACTTTGACTTCAATGACTTTTCCTTGACTTCAACGACTTCAATATGACTTCAAAGGCTTCAACGACATCACTGACTTCATAAACATCGCTGACTGACCTCGATTGACTCTAAATGACTTCTTTGACTTCAGTTCTGACTTTTACTTCACGCCGACTTCTCGGCGACTTAAATTCCTAACATTCTTGATGACCAGAGTTGTATGACTTATGTTCTAGTTGCGTGACAGCGTGTCGGCCAACACGTTTTGTGTGCCGGGAATAGGAACAATGTCAAATTGATAATCTTGTAAGCTCAGTGCCCAGCGTACCAGTCTTGCGTTTGACAGCTTCTTTGTTTTTAGTGCTTGTAGGGGCGCGTGATCGGTCTGTAAAGTGAAGTGTGCACCGGCCAGGTATCTGGCAAACTTGTTTATGGCCCAGACTATGGCCAGACATTCTTTCTCAATGACTGCGTAGTTTTTCTCAGCTGACGACAATTTTCGGCTAATGTATTGAACTGGGTGGAGTTCATTGTTAAATTCTTGTAAAAGACATGCACCTATACCGACCGAAGAGGCATCCGTGCAGAGGATAAAGGGTTGATCTGTATTTGGTAATCTGAGAATAGGTTCCGATGCGAATGCTTGTTTTACTCTGTTTAGTGCTGTTTCACATTTTTCTGTCCACAGTAGTTTCTTATTCTTTTTGTCCGTTCTTGTTAAATTCGTTAGTGGCTCTATGATGGTGGCGAAATTGGGTATAAACTTCCTATAGTAGTTACACAGACCGATCAAGCTACGGACCTCTTTAATTGATGTCGGCACGTTTATGTCCAGTATTTTATTCACTGTAGGTTGGAGTGGCTTTTGTTGACCTTGTGAAATGGAGTGACCTAAAAATTCTATCTCTTCCATTCCTATTTCTATTTTGCTAGGTTTAGCAGTGAGTCCATGCTGCTTTAATATTTCCAGCAGCGTTTCCAGTCCTCTCACATGCTCTTGCCAGGTGTTGTGGAACAGACATATGTCATCTAAGTAGGATATGAGGTCGTCTCGACCCTGTAGTATTTTTCGCATGAGTCTGTTGAAGGTAGCCGGTGCGTTCATTAGCCCGAAACTCATGTACTTCCACTGGAACAAGCCAAATGGTGTTATAAAGGCTGTTAGGTGTCTCACATCTTCTTTTATTGGTATCTGCCAATAACCCCTGGATAAGTCAAGCTTAGTAAAGTATTTAGCCTGTTTAAGTTTAGCAAATAAGTCTTCTGGATTTGGCATTGGTTCTGCGTCTGGTATTGTAATGCTGTTCAGTTGTCTGTAGTCAATACACAGTCTAAGGTCGTGGGATTTTTTCTTTACCAATACGATAGGTGCAGCATATGAGGAGTCGGAATGTTCTATTATTCCAGCTTGTAATAATTCCTGGATTTGGTTTTGTACGTTTTCTCTGTGATGTATGGGAATGTTGTATGCGGGCATTTTGGTTGCTCTAAGTGAAGTCAACTTAATATCATGGACGATTGTATCTGTTTTACCAGGTTGTGGGGACAGTACCTCTTTAAATTTTTCTAATATTTCCTTGATTTGTTTTTCGATTTCTGGCGGCATTCTGCCGATTTTGATATCTTGCCATGTTTCCTTGCTAGTAGGTAATGTGTATATTTTGCCGATCGAGTCTGTGTCATTTTCGTGTAACTCTGCGCAGTTTATTGTTGCCGTTTGTTTAATTTCAAGCTCTTCTGGTCTTAAGGTGTAAGGGCTCAATATATTTGTGTGAAACGTTTTTTTCTTCCCTTTTATTTCGACTTGGTAATCTACATTTGAAATTTTGGCTGTGATTGTGAATGGACCCTGCCATGCAAGCTGTAATTTGTTGTGCTTAGAAGGTAACAGTATTCTGACCTGTTCTTCTACTGTGAACTGGCGTAGCTTTCTATTCCTGTTCACCCTGTGTCTTGCTATTTCTCCCTTTTCTTGTAGCGCGAGCTTTGCTTCCTGGCATGCATTGATTATATTTTCTCTAAGATTGACAATGGCTTCATATGTTGTTCTGGTTTCTTTTTCTATGTTCTGTTTGTAGAGAAGTGTCCTAAGTATATCCATAGGGCCTTTAGGGTTGGCGCCGTAGACGAGTTCGAATGGAGAAAATCCAGTAGAAGAATGAGGTATTTCTCGGTAGGCGAATAGGATACATGGTAGCATGGTATCCCAGTTTTCTGGATTGTCTTTGGAGACTTTGTCTAGTAACGATTTAATGGTGC